AGAAGGGGAAAGGGGAAGCCCCAAACCCCTCACGCCAGCTACCCAAGACCCCAGTTCTAAGGCTGGATATCAAAAACACGTGAAAAAGCGCCACCCAAAGGGAAGTAGGGTTGCCGGGTTCATTACATCTAATGCTGGTTTTCTGGGGAAAGCCTCGTCACTACTTACCAAAAGACGAAAATAAGAGGGATTTACCCAGGAAGCAGTCGTTGCTCGTTCCTCAACACGAAGCCGAGACAACTGGCTGCAACTGCCGACCCAAAGCGACACAGGCCTGACAAGGCTCAGGAACATTCACAAGGTAAAGCGCAGCCAGGACCCTGTTCGAATGCCAAAATCCCCGTGCTCGAATGTCAGCCCTAGACATGTTGCCAAAGACAACAGCAAGAGCAGCAAACTTACGAACGTCGTGGGCACGGGGATAGACCATAGGCTGACTGGGTCAAATAACCCTGCAGACGACCTGAGAGACCCAAACCCTGAAACAGGGAAGAAGGGGAAACCGAAGCAACCCAAAGCGCGTCCCTGGATACAGAAGACGGGCAAGCAAATAACAGCAGAGAGCTGCAACCAGACACAAAACATGATGGACCCCCAGCCTGACCAACCAAGCATCAACAACCCAATGACCCCTCTGGAAAGCAGTCATCTCATTCTTCGCCAGAAAAGAAGGAGACGACTGCAAGCGAACAAACCTAATATGAGGACCAAAAGAGCAGAAACCTCTGTGCCGGAAGACAGCATGAAGCTCCCTGGCCCAACCCCCAGAAGCCAATGCCAACAGAAAAAAAAAGAGCCTTAGAAAAACAATCCTGGATCGAAGGGGCCACAACAAACTGAGGAGAAGAGAGAAAAGAAAGCACCCATCCAAAGATCAGGACAGCTCAAGCAGCGCATGATCAGGCTGGAGTTGAAACAATGCACAAGACAGCTTGCAAAACAGCGCTGAAGCAAAATACCCAAAGAAAGCTGCAGGGGCTCTGCCAGAACTGCACGATACGAGACGACAGTATTCGGCATAAGATAACGGTCCTGAAACAACCACGAGAGAAAAGACAAGACAACCCGAAAACCAAGAGCGAGGAATACCTACGAAGCGAGAGAAAGAAGTGAATGGGCGTGCCAGGAAATTTCATACTGCCGCCGAGACGAAGCCCGCAGGTGCGACACCATCAATGATACCACCTGATCGCCATACAGATGGTGATAGACCTAAATAAAAAACACCAAACGCGAAGACACGAGAAGGAGATCGAACCTGCCATGTAACGGACCGGACCGATCTGCTGAAAGAGGTGGAGCTGTGGGAAAACCTCCGGGTTCGGACACTGAGCAAGCAGCGCCTGAAACTAAGGCTGGGCCGGTCACCAAGGGGCCAAGAGGACTACTCATTCTTGGCAAGTCTCCAAGCGAGCCAGGACTTGGAGCAACAGCTGAACCGGGGAAAAAAGAGGTACAGGAACCCGCACCTCGACCAGTCCTGCCGAAAGGCAATGACCACAACAGCCTCGCAGTTGGGAAGGGCTCTACATATACTGGAAAACGCCTCGATCATGCCGACGGAAAGCGGTCCACCTCCGGGTGTCCCAAACATCTGGCTCTGAACCGACTCATTCAGTTCAGAGTCATCTGAATGAGTCGGCGTCGAATCTTCCATTCCGTGGACATGGGAATGAACAGAGACAGGCCATCCGGCAGAACTTTGGACAGACGAATCACCCGAAGCGACCAACTCCAAAGAGCCAGGACTGCATCGAACCCCAGCGGTTCAGACAATGAACCACCGGGAAACAGTCTAATTGGAGCCGGATCATCGATCAGCAGGCGACCCGAACCCTCCGAAGGGAAAACCACATCACCGCAAACTCCCGCACTGTGCTGTGGGCTCGACGGAAGGGTGGACCCCACCGCCCTTGGCAGGCCTGGTGAGCTGGTCACAAAGCCCCAGCCCAGAGACAACATGTCTGTGAACACATCGAGCGAAGGCTCGGGTAGGCGCCAAGGAACTGAACCCCGAAAAACCCGAAGAGGAAGCAGGCGACGCAGCAACCAACGCAAGGCCCCGGCGGACGAACCCAGTGATCGTGATAGATGCGGAAGGGATGGCTCTGAAGAAACCAGAACAGCCGATGAAGCCAAATCTAACCCGGTCGGTAGACCATCACAACAAAGTTCAGCCTCCTGCACAAACCCTCGAGCAGTCTCAGTGACTCACGAACCCCCAAGAAACATGTAAAGGTGGGGACCGCAGCGAAAGGAGAGACTCCAGAGGGAGAGACAAGGAAACGGTCCAAGAGTCTCACACAAGACCCAGTCAAGTCCGAAACTGGGAGGAAACCAAATGGGACTTCCTCCAGTTCACCAAGAACCCGAACCCGGCGAGCTGGGAAAGAACCAAATTCCTGGCGAGCAGACACTCGAACCGGCTGGGAGCCCAAACTAGCCAGTCATCGAGGTAGGCCACCCAAACACCTAAGAGATGCAAACGGGCCACTACAACCCGAGTAAGGCATGTGAAATGTGAGGTGTCAGGTTCAACCTAAATGGGAGACAACGAAAGCGGTAACTCTTGACGCCCCACAGTAAAACCAAGCCAGTCCCTAAACCGCAGATGAAATGGGACATGCCAATACACATCCCGGAGGTCCAGGGACACCATCTAAGCGCCTGGCTCCAACAGAAGCCGGACCTGGGACAGAGTAGTCAGGACAGAGTAGGACAGGAGCAAACAAGCACTCATTAAGATGTTCAAACTCGCCCCGTAGGAAAACCTGGTCCACACTCGCCCCCTAGGAAAACCTGGTCCACCGTCAACGACTCACGTCATTCAAGTGTGCAGGAACGACAGAATGAATGCAAAGTCTTGAAAGCAAAAACAGGACAGTCTGCCAGCCAAGACGAGTCCGGAACGTCGTAACGAATCCAGTAGGAAACGAAGACCCAAACCTGAATGTAGATGGATCCGTAAGAGGCGTAATCCGGGTCGCGCAGGAGATAAGCCGCAAAGGCCTCCCGCACCACAGCAGGAGGGATGCGGGAAGACAAAAACCTCCTGAAGGGACATGGAGCCGAACCATGGAAGGGAGGTTATCTTGAGGTTATCTTGAGATGATTTCGGGGTTTTAGTGTCCCCGCGGCCCGGTCCTCAACCAGGCCTCCACCCCCAGGAAGAAGCCCGTGACAGCTGACTAACTCCCAGGTACCTATTTACTGCTAGGTAACAGGGGCATTCAGGGTGAAAGAAACTTTGCCCAATGTTTCTGCCTCGCGTGGGAATCGAACCTGCGCCACAGAATTACGAGTCCTGCGCGCTATCCACCAGGCTACGAGGCCCCAAGGGAGGGGCAGACACCAAATCAAATTCGAACACAGAGGGGGGGGGGGAGAAAACCCCACTCCTTGCAACAGTAAGCACTGCTCAGAGGGGTAGAAAAACCCAGGTGGGGTCCAACAGGGCCCAAGGCCCCCTTCCCCCGCTGTGGGAGCCACTACATCAGGCCCCGAGGCTGAGTCGTCTCCCAAAGCTCCAGCTTCAAAAGAAGAGGGCACAGCAGTCGTAGAAAGCAGAAGAAAAGGAGCCACTGGTCGGACCCAGACGCCTCGGCAGGGAGGAAAGACTCACTATGCCTCTGTCGCCGGCCCGGAAGGGGCATCTCCCGAGACCGCCCGAGTCTCAACACCATCTAAACCCTGCCCCAACCGAAACCCACAGACGTTTTGGAGCCGGAATCAGGAGGGGGAGACCAGACCAAACCACAGCAGGGGAAGGACAAGGGGTGCGGAGTGAACCAAGGTCGAAGTGACCAACACTACAAGTCCACGTCCCTATAACCAAAACGAGGCAGCCTCGGGCCTTCCGGGTCAGCAACCAACCTAGCTCGTTGCAACAACTTAAACCTAACATGCAAAGCCTGCGCCGCCTGTACCCGAATATCATCATCAGTAGACTGGGTAAACCAAGTCACCCGCAAGCAACAAAATTCGCAGGACTCAGGGTCGAAAGTATCACGACCCAGCAGGCAGCGTGACAGAGGCAAAAACAACGAGTCAAAAACAACATTGCAGACGTCGCAATGAAGGCAAAACACCGCCTTGGAAATCGATGCCAGAGAGACGTCCACCCCGGACCACATTAGCTAACGAACTGGAGTGCTGGGTAGCCGGCGCAGGGAGTTCCGGGGCTTTGGAGGGCTGCGCGGATAAGAGGCACTGCAGTGGAGTGTGACGTTTGCTTGTTTAATTGTTTCCTTAGGATTGAAGTCTAGAGGGAGAGGGAGTTCTACCTCTCTTTTCGGTTTTTAGCTGTAATTTTCTTACCATGTGGGGTTTGTTTTGTTATGCCTACCTTGCTGGGTGCGTAACCCCAGTCGATGCCAGATAAGGAAAACCCCCCAAACACAGGGGAGGGGGGTGTCCAGGGCCATTGCTCCCTGAAACCATTCTGAGAGGAGGCCAGGTTCTGGCTCATGGTCCTCGGTAGGTCAAACTCCATAGACAAATGCCCCGGTCTAATATATCAAACATTAGTCCGATAGCTCCAGGGAGCCAAAGGGGCTCCCCACAGAAACATTAAAATATTGCTAAATTCAGTCATTATTTTGTACCAGCCTTTGAGCTCCTAAAGACAGTAATTCAAGGGTAAGAGCCCAGATAAGACTAACAGATAAGAATAACAGTATTATAATAATAAGATTAAATTTTAATTCAACAAGTACATTTGTGATAATTATCATATTGGATAAGAGACAAAACTTAATGCTTTATATAACCTAAAAAGTTTTACATTACAATAATGTAGATTAATTAATTTGGCATCAAGTGTCAGTCTCTAAATAAAATTGACAAAACATTTAGCTAAAATAAAGGAAAAATTATAATCACTAGAACAAAATTCCTTATTTATCTGTACCAATACATATTTAAAAGCAAAATAAAGTACCTATGTTTCTGGAATATATTTAATATGAATATGAAATCATACCAGAACAGACATTTCCTACCTGCCCTAGCTGCCATTCCTGAGATATCATTCTTCATGATGTTGTCCATTATGCCACTGAGGAAACCATTATTATACTCCGCAACCAAAAGATTTAACTGGCCTGATAAGAGAATACAAGAAAGAATCCATTAATAGGAAACAGACTATTATATTCTAAAACAAACATGCTGAACGAAAGTATTACAAAGAGAGACAATGAGTTGAAATATTTATGGTACTGCGTCTTGTAAAACTGGCAATGGAACATGAGTGATAATATAATGAATATATAAATGAGGGTGTCATGCAAGTCTTAATAAGTACCATATTTCCCAGCATTGAAGACCCATTCACCCATTTTGAGTTCCTAAATAAATAAAAAAAAGAGTCTATGCTAGGCCCAACATATTAAATATAATGAAAATACAAATGTTGTTTTACTTACTGTATCCCAGGATATGTTAGGTTATTTTAATATTTTATTATCCTATTATAAGATTAAGCAGTTGGTCACAGCTGAATCATTAGAACCTTGTAAATTGTTATCTAGCAATTACATATTATTCATACCAAAGTTATGGACAACAGCCAGTGTTTTATACATACAGTATGTATAATTAAAGATCATATCCAATCAAAGTTCAACTTTCAATAATTGCAAAGGTTCAGGCATAGCCTTAGCACTGAGAAAACTACATTTTGAGTAGTGATATATAAATATAGATTTATTTTTTTGCAAGTGGTTTGAATTACCCAGGATGTGTCTCAAGATAATATCCAGATCAATGCTAAATAAAATGTTGTAAGTAACAGACATCTGTTGATAATGCAGTAAAAGGAAACAACAGAGATTTTACAGTTTATGGCCAGCAGAAACATGGCGCCAATTCTTGACAAGGTAAACTGGTGTCATCATGAAGTGTGAAACACGAGTGATAGTTCTGCACAAGTATGTGTCTATATATTTACAGGACATTTTAAGCAGAGCTATAGCCCTAGTGCCGATACTCACCTTCAACAACCTTGGCACCAAACATACCATCAAACTTAAGTATCTCATAATTCTTCTCATAATAACCAATGGCCTTGTCAAGGGCGGCCAACACCTGCATGACCAGGTGCGTGTGGGACCCGACCTGCCGCAGGGGTCCACCGCCTGGAGGAGATCCCACGAGAGACACCCGCTGGTGTCCGAGGTCCCGCTGACTGCCCACACCCACTTGTCCGCCTCTCACACTTCCCTTCCCCCATTCCGATAATATTATGAAGTTGATTGTTGTTTGTATTATGAAAGTATACTGCGCCATTCTCAGTAAAATGCCTATGACAACTACATAGTGACACGGTCCACGGCCACTCCCAGTGTTTACAAAGGGCCGGACTTTAACTTTCTAAAACTTCGTTTTTGACTGATACGCATCTACGTTCTTTTAGCTTTTAGTATAAATTAAAAACTAAAAATTAAAAAGCTAAATCAATCAAAAACAAAACATGCAAAATAGATACTAAGAATATTGTAATATTCATTATAAACAGCATTATTAATGCAAACAGCATGTGTTTCAGAGTCTCATTTGTATGGATACCATCTCACCTACTCACATACTAGTACCCGAGCTGAGAGGTATGAGCTACGAGGAGAGACTACGGGAATTAAACCTCACTTCGCTGGAAGACAGAAGAGTTAGGGGGGACATGATCACCACATTCAAGATTCTGAAGGGAATTGATAGGGTAGATAAGACAGGCTATTTAACACAAGGGGCACACGCACTAGGGGACACAAGTGGAAACTGAGCGCCCAAATGAGCCACAGATATTAGAAAGAGCTTTTTTAGTGTCAGAGTGGTTGACAAATGGAATGCATTAGGAAGTGATGTGGTGGAGGCTGACTCCATACACAGTTTCAAGTGTAGATATGATAGAGCCCAATAGGCTCAGGAACCTGTACACCTGTTGATTGACGGTTGAGAGGCGGGACCAAAGAGCCAGAGCTCAACCCCCGCAAACACAACTAGGTGAGTACAACTAGGTGAGTACATAGGTGTTGTCCAGCATGATGACGCAGACAATAATAATAATAATAATAATAATAATAATAATAATAATAATAATAATAATAATAATAATAATAATAATAATAATAATTTATTTAGGAACAGTACATACATAGTTGCAGACTTACAATACAAACATTCTGTTAGATTTAAAGATAGAGGTAGTACATACAATTCATGTGATTAACTCAAATCAAATCAAATCAAATGTTTATTTAGGTAAGGTACATACATACAAAGGATTTTACAAAGAGTGATGGATTTATAGATAGGGCTAGTACATAGAATGCCTAAAGCCACTATTACGCAAAGCGTTTCGGGCATGAAAAACTTAAATGACTAAAGCTTAATACTAATTGAGCATAAAGAATAAAATGAGTTGAGAACAAATAAAAAAAGAGATAAAAAAGGGGGGAACATGGCTGAAAAAGCAGCACAAATACAATTCTGTCGACAAACAGCGCTATTTAAAAAAACAGACATTGGTTGACAATAGAGGGGTAAGGTAGGTTACAGGGAATTTATTAGGTATAGCTTCGTGTTTAGCTAAAACTGGTTGAGAGAGGTACAGTCTTTAACATGGTTGGGAAGGTCATTCCACGTTCTGGGTCCCTTGATTTGTAGAGCATTTCTAGTTTGATTAAGTCGTACTTTAGGACTATCAAAATTGTATTTATTTCTGGTGTGGTGCTCATGGGTTCTGTTACAACCTTCTATGAAGCTTTTGAGGTCAGGATTGGCATTACAGTTCAGCGTTTTTTATATGTATAATACACATGAGAGAATGTGCAGTGACTTAATGTCTAACATGTTCAGAGATTTGAGTAGGGGTACCGAGTGATGTTTGGGGCCAGAGTTGGATATTGTCCTAATAGCAGCTTTGTGTTGAGTAATTAGAGGACGTAAATGATTTTGGGTAGTAGAACCCCAAGCACAAATACCATAGTTGAGATATGGATAGATGAGGGAGTAATAGAGAGTCACCAGGGCAGGGCGGGGTACATAATATCTGATCTTAGAAAGAATGCCAACAGTTTTTGAAACTTTTTTTTATATATTTAGAATGTGTCCCTGGAAATTCAGCTTGTGGTCAATGAGAATGCCAAGGAATTTGCCATCTAATTTGTTACAAATTTGGGTATTGTTTATTTTGAAATTTATTTGATTAGAGGATTGATTAGAGGATTAGAGGATTGAGTAGAGGATTTGATTAGAGGATTAGAGAACTGCCTGAAATTGAATTGGATATGGGTATTCCACTCTCTGAGGTGTAAAAGCCGCAATATATTTCAAGAAATTAGGGAAGACAGAAGAACAGTTACTGACACTCAAAGGCCAGAAAGCACGAGTATGAAGAGCTATGATATGTTTAGAACCGAGAAATATGCGGTCGGGCAGCATAAAACATCACTAGACAATGACATTGACATTGGCAGAATTAAGATGGGATATCGATATCTATGGCAGGTGGCTGCAGGTAATGAATCCCCCAAAGGTGAACATTCCAAATATAAACTATGTGAACAAGAGCTATGACATACTCTCCAACACTGATTGCGCTATTATCAGTGACTTCAGACCAAATGGTATGAGGTACTTTGAGCTCTGTAATTACTTCATACACTCAGGGATACTGGAAGATATTCTTGTGATGTACCCAGATTTTGCTAGTGGGGGCTAATAGATCAGCCTTACATTTCATGTTCTCTCCTGATTCCATGTATGACTGGCCGTCCTGTGAGGTACGGATGTTGGATGAGCCTGTAGCTGTTTTTTTATCTACACTGTGTGGTCCTTCATACAGAATAAGGTAGCAGCACATTGCTGTGTATACCTAAGCTTGTTAAAAAAGAAATGACATTGAGAAGAATCTTGTAGAAACTAGTAAGAGCAATTATAATATAATGTTTCCATGATTCAGTGCTTAGCTCTTGTGAAAATCGTGAAGTTGTTGTTTAGTCAGAGTTGACTTGTTTATGTATTGAGCATATTTTCTCCCCTGATTCCATGTATGACAAACCATCCTGTGAGATGGGAATAGATGAACTTATAGCTAGTTTTTGATCTACATTGTATAATCTTTCATATAGAATAGGGTAACAGCACATTGCTGTACTCACCTAGTTGTGCTTGCAGGGGTTTAGCTCTGGCTCTTTGGTCCCGCCTCTCAACTGTCAATCAACTGGTGTACAGATTCCTGAGCCTACTGGACTCTATCATATCTACATTTGAAATTGTGTATAGAGTCAGCCTCCATTACATCACTGCCTAATGTATTCCATCTGTTAACTACTCTGACACTGAAAAAGTTATTTCTAACGTCTCTGTGGCTCATTTGGGTACTCAGCTTCCACCTGTGTCCCCTTGTTCGCATACCACCCGTGTTAAACAGTTTATCTTTATTTACCCTGTAAATTCCTGAGAATTTTGTAGGTAGTGATCATGTCTCCCCTTACTCCTCTATCTTCCAGTGTCGTGACGTACATTTCACGCAGCCTGCCTCTTAGTTCTGAGACTAGCCTAGTGGCATATCTCTGAACTTTTTCCAGCTTTGTCTTGTGCTTGACAAGGTACGAGCTCCATGCTGGGGCCGCATACTCCAGGATTGGTCTTACATATGTGGTATACAAGGTTCTGAATGATTCCTTGCACAGGTTCCTGAAGGCAGTTCTGATGTTAGCCAGCCACGCATATGCCGCAGATGTTATTCGTTTGATGTGGGTTTCAGGAGACAGGTTTGGTGTGATATCAACTCCTAGATCCTTCTCTCTGTCCGTTTCATGAAGGACTTCATCTCCCATTTTGTATCCTGTGTCTGGCCTCCTGTTTCCATTGCCTAGTTTCATTACCTTACATTTACTCGGGTTGAACTTTAGTAGCCATTTATTGGACCATTCATTCAGTCTGTCTAGGTCATCTTGTAGCCTCATTCTGTCTTCCTCCGTCTTAATTTAATCCTCCTCATAATTTTTGCTTCATCAGCAAACAATGAAATGAATGATTCTATACCCTCTGGTAGATCATTTACATATATCATAAACAGTATAGGTCCAAGGACTGAACCCTGTGGGACTCCACTCTTGACGCCTCGCCAATTTGCGGCCTCACCCCTCACAGTGACTCGCAGTCTTCTGTTACTTAGGTAATCCCTTATCCAATGGAGTTCCTTCTCTTTCATTCCTGCCTGCATCTCCAGCTTTGGCACTAGTCTCTGGTATGGTACTGTGTCAAAGGCTTTCTGCCCATCCAAAAATATGCAGTCTGCCCACCCCTCTCTTTCTTACCTGATTTTTGTTGCCTGGTCGTAGAATTCAGTTAATCCTGTGAGGCATGACTTACCATCCCTGAACCCATGTTGGTGTTGTGTCACAAAGTTCCTTCGCTTCAGATGTTCCACCAGCTTTTTTCGCACAATCTTCTCCATTAACTTGCATGGTATGCAAGTTAGGGGCACTGTCCTGCAGTTCAGTGCCTCCTGTCTATCCCCTCTTCTTGTATATCAGGACTACGTTTGCCGTCTTCCAAATTTTTGGTAGTTCACCTGTTACCAGTGATTTGTTATACACCATGGAGAGTGGTAGACACAGTGCTTCTGCTCCTTCCTTTAGTATCCATGGCATTATTCCATCCGGGCCTATAGCCTTTGTTACATCCAGCTCTAGCAAAAGCTTCCTTACATCCCCACTGGTAATCTCAAACTTCTCTAGTGGTGCCTGGTTAACTATTCCTTCTCTTATATCTGGAACTTTTCTTTGCTCTACTGTGAAGACTTCCTGGAATTTCTTATCAAGTTCCTCGCACACTTCCTTGTCATTTGCAGTGAATTTGTCTGCCCCTATCCTCAGTTTCATTAACTGTTCCTTCACAGTTTTCTTTCTCCTGATGTGGCTGTGCAGCAATTTAGGTTGAGTCTTTGCCTTGCTTGCTATGTTGTTTTCATATTGCCCTTCTGCCTTTCTTCTCACCCTGACGTATTCATTCCTGGCTCTCCGGTATCCTTCTCAGCTCTCAAGTGTCCTGTTATTTCTAGTGTCTTCACGCTCTTTTACTTTGTTCCTTAGCTAGCTTACTTTTTTCTCTGATTAAACCATGGGTTTCTCATCAGCATTTCATTTATTTCCCTTTCGGCCGGGGTAAACTTGTTTGCTACCTCCTTACACTTCTTTGTGATGTATTCCATCATGTCTTGGGCCGTCTTTCCCCCCTGGGCTTTGATTCCCATGTTAGGAACTTTCGTTAGTTATTTTTCGAATTTTCGTAGTTTCTCATGTTAACGGAATTGTCTTATCTCCTCATAGTTTTCCTTACGGAATGCTAGCCTTTTGTT